AGACCTTGAATCATATTTAATTATAAATTATTATTTATAGAATTTTATAACTGGAAAATGATGCACGAATTGGAAGAAAAACATAAATATGTAAATCAATAATAGGTATAACATCACAGACTCTTATCAGTTACTAATTGGTGCGTATGCAAATGCAATACCGCAATATTGCACAATATGCATGCGCACCATGAGCGGTGCATTCCTGTATTTAAACGCTCTTGTATATACCCCAAGTCCCTAACCCTAATATATATATATATATTATACTAGGTATACTATGCCACTAGCCTATATAAGGTGTTGGCAGTGTTGCTTATATTATATAAATTATCGTTACTATCATTAAAATACGATAAATCAATCAAATTAGTGTTAATTAATTTAAAATTTCGTATAAAAACTCAATTATAAATCAGCCATTTATTATTACACTATCATACACTGTTTATTAATCGATATTAATTACGTACGACAGACTTGTCATAATAGAGTAGTTTATATTTACTTATACTTTTATTCAATTTTTAGTTGATTGTTTTTCTTAAATGGATGTTATATTTTAGGACCGACTGTTCGATCCAAACATTTGGAGCTCTAAAGACAACCAAATGCTTATTAAAGATGACGTTGATGGATTTGGTTATAATTCTGAATGGGKAAAAGAAATAGAGCAATCTTATCAAAACCAAGAGTAAGCTTTTCATTATAATCATCAAATTTACATATGATATCGATTATTTACTTTTTAATTTCAGGATTAACGTTATGAAATCTCGTTTTGATTTTGGAAAGATTAAAGAAAATATGAACATCTTAGGTGATATCAATATTGAACCCGTATCAAGTGATAATTTTATGGTAATATTTTTAAGAATTCAAGATCAACACACACAGTGGCGCCGACCTGTATCTCATTTAGCGGGGCGAAATATAAAAATGGGAAATGGTATTTTGCGCTAATTGTATTACTTCTAATTTGGGCCACGAATAGGTGCATTTATGTGCGTATGAATTTACGCAAAATATAAAAAATAATCATGTATTTTATGCCACATCTAAAAATTCACTTTGGTAATTTGTGCCACTGCAGAAAACGAAATGGAATAATGTAATCTGTGCCACACTCAATTTTAATTGTTAGAATTTAGTATTTACCATCAGATAAATTTACTGATACATTAAATCGGAAATACGATAATACATTAATACCATCCCGTGCCAAATATAATATTGTTGTGTTCTACTAATAATAAGTATAGATACGARATCGATTACGTCGAATTAATTATATTTTTTACGACAATATAAAATATTTCGTTTATAATTCTTATAATATGACAACTGATTTTTATATATTTTTTAATATCCAAACTCATACTTAGCTGTTTATTGTTTAATATACATAACGCGTATGTACTGATATACTTTTGTTTATAATTATTTAATCTGTAAAAAAAAAATTGTTTAGTTATTTGAAAGTGGCGAAAATTATAATTAGAGTAAGACAAATAACGGTGCAAATTACAATTTTTGAAAGTATCAAATTGCGTAAATTACAAACGCCCATATATATATGCAACTATTGTGGAGGGTGGGGGGCACAAAAATTGAAAATAGCCCCCCCCCTTGATGTTTTATCAAAACCRCCMCTGCGTGAACAGCCACATAAAAATACTTGTTCGGCGCCACTGATGACACAKCACGTCTATAAATTATTTGTTAACAACCATTTTGCGCGGGCATTTACCTATATCATTTGTAGTAGCATGTTAAAAAAAAATAGTGTTGCTCAATTAATTTTTGATAACTTTTTATATTGTTACATCTTACATYTATCAATAAATGTATACTTTCATGTGAACATTCCAATGAACAAAATTATTACCACGCCAATGTTACTGACTAGTGAATTTTGAATACTGACTAGGTACTTATAGTTATAAGTAATTCTTAATCTTTAATAAGTATCTCAGTATTTGTAGTTAATATATTATTTAAAATTTAGCTTTTTCTTAAATATTAAAAATTATATATGTTTCTTAAAATTTGAATGTGTATCCTCCTAATAATAAATTAATTAAATGTAAAAAAAAAATTGTATTAATTTTTATAAATTGTACATGCTTAAGTTTGCACATTTGCAATGCATATTTATGCATWTCACTTCATTTCATTTTCATTTTGTTTCTTACCTATTTTGCTGGATTTCGTCAATAAGTCCTTATTTTTTAATGGACATTATAATTGAGTCGTCATTTCGTCAATCTATAAAAGACGACAAGTAACTTAATATAAATAAACTTTTAAAATAAGAAACTACAGTATTATATATAGACAAATAGGTAGTATAATAAGTAGTACATTAGAACATATTATCATGTTGTTCACTGTGAATGCACATTATTAATTTCAGGGACCACAAAATAAAATGTTCATTGGTAATGGCATTGGTATGCCAATCAATAATTTTGGAATTGGGTTGTACGGAAACTCGTTACTTGCCAATCAACATTTTGAGCAGCTTAGAGGATATGGTCAGGGRTGGGAAATGAATAATATGTTTGATACAATGATACCTAGTACATCAGGAATAGACAAACCAATTATGGTTGCAGAGGGATCTTCTATTCTAGATAATGCTAATCTAGTTGCTGAAGCTAATGAAAGTGAAAGTAATATCGAAATTGGAAATGAGAATACCAATTTCCAAACATGGTATTCTGAATTTGAAGAAATGAAGAACGCTGATAGAAAAAAAGTGAACATATAGTTTTAAATCTTAATTCAAATAATTTATTGTTTACTTTTTGAAAATTATATAAAGTATGATGTTTGTTACTGTATAGGAATATACTTTCACACCAGACAATGAGATGGACTCTATAGAAAATCCATTAATGGAGGGTAAAAGACGTTTAGAAAATGGTGAATTACCATCAGCCGTTTTGTGTTTTGAAGCTGTTGTTAAACATGACCCTTCCAATGTAGAAGCTTGGCAACTTTTAGGTACTACTCAAGCTGAAAACGAACAAGTAAATTAATATTTAAAATAAATTATATAAACTAATTATTATTATAACATAAATATTAATATTTATAAACTTTGAAAAACAAGTATGAACTATTGTAAGTTCTCTCYATTAGTTACTTACCTATTATTCACTTAATGTTAACTTTATTCTRATCCACTTTTGAAATAATTCTGTTTTTACTAAAAAGAGATTTTTGTTAATATTAATTTGCTATATCATACTATAAAAGTATAATATAAACCATGGGCGTTGTAAGGGGGGGGGTGGGTGTTCAAACACCCCCCCAAAATTAAATAAAACAATCTAACCTAACCAAGAAAACAAAGTTTTATCTTATAATTTTTCAAATTTGTAAATTATATGGACAAAATATTGTATTTATATTATAAATAATTATAATAATTATTATATTATTTAATACATACAAATAAATGATTCCTAATTTTATCATATTAATATAGATTTAGACAAAAAACCCCTCCGAAAATCTTTCTTACCTATGCCCATGATATAAACTATAAACATTAGATCATTAATTTATATTGTACAGAAATTTAAGTTTGAAGTTATTCTAACATTATCTGGTTTTTATATGAAAAATAATATTGAATTTATCATATATTATGTATTGTTAAATCCTATTTCTATTATAATAATTAATAACTACCTAGTCTGTAAGTTAATAATTAATTACCTACATTTTAATTATATATATTTTAACTTAACATATGACTGTCTATGGTACTTAATATATATGTATATATTTTAGGATCAGCTAGCTATAAATGCGCTCAACAAATGTCTTGAACTTCAACCAGACAATTTAACTGCTATACTTTGTTTGGCGGCATGTTACACAAATGAAAGTTGTAGTTTACAAGCTTGTCGTATGCTTATGGTAATAATAATCTTTAGTTATTAGTTATTACATTGTTATTTAATTTATAAAAATGAATACTTTATATGAATAAATTTGTTTTAAGGAATGGTTAAATCAAAATCCCAAATACTCAAATATAGTGAAATCAAAATCAATACCAGAAGACCCTCCAATAATAAAATATCTATTTACTACGTAGGTATTTTTTGTTATAATGTAATGTATTTGTGCAATATTTTAAAGTTAATTTTTAGTTTTAACAAAGGAAAAATATTATATAAAGCATAATTTTTCCACAATAATAAAATTTTATTTTATTTTTTAGAAAACTATATGAATCTGTAAAGGAAATGTACATAGAAGCAGCTCAACAGAGCTTAGAATTAGGAGATATAGATGCAGATGTCCAAAATGGATTGGGTGTACTGCTCAATCTTAATAATGAGAATGATAAAGCAGCTGATTGTTTTAAAGTTGCTTTACAAATTAGACCTGAAGTGAGTTGTTACATTTTTAAGAATCTACTGTTTATTTTTAAACAAAATTCATTCTACAGGATGCTCGTTTGTGGAATCGCTTGGGTGCAACTTTGGCCAATGGCGGTCGATGTGAAGAAGCTATAGAAGCGTATCACAATGCTTTACAATTGTGTCCTGGTTTTGTAAGGGCTCGTTATAATCTAGGAAT